TGTTCTTTACAAACAGACAAAATTTGAGGGTATGTTTAGGGGAAGGGACGCCCCTAAAGTGATTTCCAGCATTTTCCGGTCGAAACAGATGTCTTTTGTTTTAAATCGATCGATTTTATCCAGCAGACGACGGTAGTCGAACTCAAAGCTTTACAAGTGGATCGTAAGTGATCAGAGACCGAAACGGGTCGGGCTCACTCTGTACATTGTACATAGAGCAATATCTAGTCTATATAGCTGCCAAAACTCGACAGCCCCATGTACAATCGTTCGGGCAGCAGCGAACGTTCCCTGAGACATCTCAAAACCGAATTTTCTTCATATTTAGAAATCTGAAATCGTACGGAAACATAGGCTATCGACCACACTGGGTCGAAACAAACATTCCCACAAGACTCAGCATGGTCGATAACCTATGTTTCCATACGTTTTCAGATTTCTAAATATGAAGAAAATTGGGTTCTGAAGTGTCTCAGGAAAAGTTCGCTGCTGCCCGAACGATTCTGGAAATTCGTTGCAAAAACTCTATTCTGTAGAGTAAACATTTCTGAAGAAAATGAGATGTCTTCGAGCTCTTTACGATAAATTTCAGTGAATCAGCATTCAATTTAGGGACCGTCCCATACCAACAAAACTAATTGGAAAACTGGCGTTGAGCCTTCCGTAAACTGAATGCCGATTCACTAAAATTTAGCGTAAAGAGCTCGAAGACGTCTCATTTTCTTCAGGAATGTTTGCTCTACAGAACAGAGTTTTTGCAACGAATTTCCAGATTGAACTCTGGGAGTTGATTTTCTGAGATTTTGGTTTTTTAGAGACGCTGGTTTAAAAAGCTGTGATATAACCCTTTTATTCAACACAGCTGATTCCAAATTCTATCAGCTGTTCAGATCGTTTTCCAAGTTTGTTCTAGCTTGTATGTTCCACGAGCAAAATCAAAAATAAAGGTGGCGAGCAATTTTTGGAGCCATTCTAGGTTACAGCGGTGTAGTATTTAATATCCAAACATGGCTGCCAAGCTTCGTTAAGTTTCCTATCAACATATCTGGCAGAGCTTTTCAAGGCGCATCAAATGATGCATGAGTGATTAGAGATCCTCTTTAGTTTCGTAGTAAAAAGTGTCAAAGAGTTTCGGTGGTATAGCCACGACTGATGGAAAAGTTTCGCTCATATTAAATTCATAAAACATGCTGCCCCACTTCGTTAAGTTTCTTATTGGCACATATTGTAGAGCTTTACATGATGCATCGAATGATGTATTGCGCTAGGATTGATATGGTATGGTTACTGAGAAATGTTGATTTTACAGTCATACTGTTACAGTCATTCTGTCATATATATTCTACTGAAAGTGCTCGGACGGGTCGAAATCATCGAATATGATAATCGGATGAGATTCTAATGCGGTGGGGACTGATTGGAGGGGTTATTTTTAGTGGACCGATTACCGTTTATGCGAACTTCACCTTTGAGGGTATGTTTAGGAGGTAGGGAACCCCGCTTAAGCTGATTTACTTAGTTTCAGTTCCATAGGTAGCCCATAATTTTGACCACATACGAGTGGTCGGCGTCCGCTGTTAAAGGATAACGGTGAAATCGCGATCGAACAACTAAATATAGGGAAAATATACTGTTGACAAATAACATTTCCCATAAATACTAACGAGTTCGTTACGGATCTTTTTCGTAGGAAAAAGAAGAAATATTTTTGGAAAATCATTCCAGTAGATATAACAGAAAAAACCCTGATCCAGAAAATACTTCGTCGATCGAGTGTACACAGTCGGTTAATAGAGGATAGATTTTAGCGGATTCGAAATTGGACGGGAATTTAAGTTAATTTCAGCCGTCGAAATTAGTTTAAATTCATTTATTTAGAAACAGTTTGAGATAATTTTGTCATTTAAATTAATCTTGACCGTTCAAACTGATCTAAAAGAATTTATTTTACAAGTATTTACATTAGTTTTATCTCTCAAAATCTATTTACATCAATTTCAGAAGTCAAAAGTCAGTTCAGATAAATCTAAACGAATTTCGACTCCAAAAATAAATTCAGACTATTTTCCAGTGTCGAAATTAATTAAAGGACACCAGACGGTTTCTGCAAGAAAATGGCCCTATATATTTTTGAGAAGATAACGGTTGGAACTGATCAGAAACCGGTCGTTAGTTAGTTTTTAATTTTTCCTCAAAAGTTGATTGTAGACTACCATATGCTGAAATTTTTAATCAGTTCTGAGCAACGATCCAAAAACACTGTTCGATCGTATTTATTCATTTTTCTGTACAAGTTCGATGTTCTTAATAGAACCTTACATACTAAAACGACATTTTTGCGTGAAACAACGTTCAATTTACCGAAGGCCGTATCTTTCCTATTTTCCTGTGAGTTGTGATGATATGGGGGCTTCAATAAATTGAATACTGTTTCACGAAAAAATGTCGTGAAGAGCTCGAAGACGTCTCATTTTCTTCAGAAATGTTTGCTCTACACGATGGAGCTATTTACCAAGCCTTTCCAGATTGAACTGGAGGACTTGGTTTTCGAGATCTTGGTTTGCCAGAGGCCCTAGTTTCACGAGTTTTCATGGAACTTTTTATACAGTATATCAGGTCCGAAATTCTTTCAGCTGGCCAAATCTTTCTTCAGATTTGTTCTAGCTATTATGGTCGCCGAGAAAAATGAAAAATAAAGGTGGCAAATAAGTTTTGGACTCACTGTCGGTTTAAGCAGCGAAGTATTTAATACACATAAACCGCTTCGAAGCTTCGTTAGGTTTCTTATTAGCACATATTGTAGAGTTTTCCAAGGCGCATCGAATAATGTATGAGTGATTAGAAATCTCTATCTGTGGACGAAACTATAATCATTTTTGTCTGCCACTTCGGTTAAAATCGAGATATCTGTCAAGTATTTGTCCAATACTTCTATGAAGACATTAGTTTTAATTGAATAGGAGGGTTAGTTTTAATTAATATTAATACTATAATACAAAGAAAAACAGCAGAAACGGTAACACACTCCGGTAGCTGAGTTACACGATTCAGCCGATGAATTTTTAGAAGTTGAGGCTCAAGAATCTAAATTAATTTCCCCCAATTTGGAATAAATTAGTTTCTAGTGAGTGGACGAACAAATCAGTCTAAATGAAATTAAAGCACCAAATTATTTCAGACTTATTCGAAATAAACTCATTTAAACAGACTTATCTGAAGCTAGCAGAAATTAATTTGTTTCTAAAGGAATCGGAGCCAACTTCCGATTAAAAGTCAGTTTAACGGCTTGTCCAAGCGTAACGCTGTGACGTTTTTGACATACTATTTTTCAATTATCTCAGAAACTTTAAGAGCTAGGGAGTTGGTTCAAACGCCATTCGACGCAGCTCATCATGCTCTATTTATGCTATAAAAATGAATAGTTTTGGTCGAAGTCTGGAGCCTCTAGAAATACTTTTTAACATACACAGGTTCAAAACATACTCAGAGGCTCTTTGCCACTAGAATATCAGTGCACGCTATCCTAAACGCTAGTGTTTCTCCAGCTCGGCGCGAAGACCCGGCCTCCTTTGAGCTGTTTTTTTATGACGTTTCTATCACCCAAATGCTTTTTCTACTATTTTCTTTTCGTCTTATTGGCATAAAATAACAAAATCTAGAGTGAAGAAAACGTTTTCCTACATTTCATCGACTGTCTAAATGCAAACATAGTGAGAAAAACAAAGTCAAACAAAAGCAGACAAACACAAACAAAAAAAGAAGCAGCACCATCCGAAAAACAATTTATTTCTTAAACATTTGAAAGAACTGTTTCGATATGATTTAAAATGATTTCCAAAGCAGAATCAACAACAAATTTGTCGTGTGTCAGATCTGACGATGGTAGAGCAAAAGAAAAATTTTCACTTTTTGACCAGACAAAAGCAGTAAATATGCTCAACGGCTTCGTGTTCCAGTGATCCTTCTGGATCTCGTCTTGTTCTTTCATATTGAAATTCTCTGCAAAATCCACTTGCAATACTATCTTTTCATCACTAACTTCCGTCTTTAATTTATCAAAATACTTCGACTGTTCTCGTTTAACGTACATATGAAACAAAAAATGTTCAACTTTTGACTTCAATGACAAAACTGCTTCATCAACATTTCCTGAAAACACTTTTTTTCTGCACGACCATTTTCGTTCATTCATTGTGACCAAGTAATTTTGGTTTTACCGTTCGAAACGTTTTCCTGAATTTTTTCTGTAAAAAATCTTCACAAAGTCAACAACTACTGAACATACATTCTTCATTATTAGTACTACAAACTAAACTATCGGTAAATGTTTTCAAAGATGAGCAGCATTGTCCATCAACGTATTTATCAGGAGATTTTAAAAGTAAACAAATATTTTCATGATACACACACAAGCAATTCCTATGTGTTAAAGCAGCTTTTGGAACGACAAAAGGCGGTCGTAATTCAGCAAACGATGAACGACCTAGATAAACGTTGTCATTCTCTTCTTTAAATAATTCATAAGTTTCACGTAAATTATTAAACAAAATTTGTTTCTGATAAGTTGCTTTACTTCAATCATCCTCTTTAATAATAACTGTGTCCCGTTTACCAGGTAATTGATATGAAATATCGTTCTTGCAATTGCATTCTTTCACATTGAGCAATAGAGCCTCCGATCTTTTCGTGACACCACTCGGTGACCAACGCATCTTCTCGAGCTGAATAACTTTGTAAAGATGTGCTCAAATATCCACTTCGAACCTGCCTAGATTCGTAACGTTAGGTCCCATGTCGTTCGTGAGATGTCATCATCACCATCTTAACCTCTCAAACATTACCAGCTCGCTTTTTAAAAGAAACTCGAGCTTCGATTCTAGCGCGACGGAAAGCGGTCAATTCGTTTCATATATCGAAATGAACTTACGTGTTCCTGCACTAGTTGAAACAGTTGCACTGACTACTAAATAAAAAGAGCATTGATTGAGATATTCATACTTTCATTTATATTCAGCTGCTTCTCTGTGAACAATACGAATATCCTCACCAGTAGTTGGTTGTTGAGTTGTCGATGCTAAAGTGAGAAGAATGTGAAGAAATTTCCCTGATGTTATGAGGGTTTACATACATGGTATTGTGCTTGTCGATTGAAATGTGGATGTAGCTAAAATAACAAAGAATAATAAGTTCGTTTATTTCCACGAGTTGTGAATCTTTGAGCTGTCAAGAGTTTCGCGAATAAGCCATCTACACTTTTCACTTTACATGATTAGTTCATAGGATAATACACACACTAGTTGAACTTGCAGATTAATCTAAATTAATGCTTTTATAAAATGATTCAAAACAATTTATTTTCGTGATGGAATTTGAATGAATTTTTCTTGAAAGTTCTCTGTGGCTCAATTAAAACATGCTAATTTCGTGTTGAAACTTTGTTGAAATGACTCTGATTTGAAATCATTTGAAATCGATCTATTTCGAAATTAATGAAACTCAGCTTTGGTTACAAACGAATCTGAATTAATTCAGATTAGTTTCAAAAGCTTTTTAGATATTATTTCTGCGAGAACAC